ACGCGTGACAAAAACTCAAATGTTCGCGGAATTAAATATGTGGAAAAACGAAATTTCTTTCATAAAACAATTAGAAAACTTAAAAGCACTTTTCTTTATAAAAAAAAAGTATATCTAAAAGCGTTTGTTGCCATCAAAAAACTTATTTCCATAAAGCTCTTTCATTTTTCACTACACCCTACTAATCATTTGGTAAACTGGTTTTTCCTAAAGTAACTTTCAAAGAAACCTTATCAAAATCTATAAAAGTTTTTTATGATTTACGACTTGTGTAACCATTTACAAGATGTTTAGAACTACCTATTTTCAAGAAAAAAAAAAAGTGATACGCGTCACGACCTCTCAGGCGGTTCTAAAGCTGTTTCATATGATTTTACGATGAAATTAGAAACATAAATAGTCCATAAGAAATTATCCTAGTTATCTTAAATAATACAACTTATATGTCTAAATTTTTATTTATTTATAAAATGACTAAAACGCAGGATATTTATAGAAATAGGTATATTCGCATATTCATACCAGTTTCACGATTAAATCTGGGAATAATAAGGGTTTGCATGCTTTTGAGACATTTTGGTATTCAATAAGCTGTTCCAAGTCTCTTGTCCCAAAAAAACACCCAAGGACCCAAAAATAGATTTATGGAAAAAAACGCGAAAAATATTTGTATAACAACACTTTTATTAGGTAGTAAACCGAAATACCTCAGTATTTTAAAAACTAAAAAAAAAATATTTTCAAAACTATCAAATCTAGAATTAAATAAAAATTAATAAATTAGAAAAGCAAGAAAATAATTCCCTGTTCAAGAATTGAAATGACATACCTGCTTATTTTTCTCCACTTGCAGCATGCTATCAGCTAACTGTCTCTGTTTGTTTTCACCACACCAATTTGGTGAACTTTTTGCGACTTTCCCTTTCTGAATACCCAAATCGTCTCAGGTAAAAAAAAAATAGTCACTTACTTATAGTCTCAAATATATGGGGCGTATTATGTATGGGAACTGATTTACTAAAATTCTCGTCACGTCTCATGGTCGGCTACTGAGCCTGGTAGCAAATTTTCTGTTTCTGTTTCCCGCTTATGACGATTTTGTTATTTGTTTACATAAATTGTCAAACACATTGGAGCAAATTTGCCAATTACTTCGAAATGTCACAAAAGTAAACTTCGGATGATGTCTTTTTTATACTGAGATTAATCGCCATACATAATGAAAATTACAATACTGGTAGCCATGGCTACTGGACCAAGCAAATAGACACCAGTCGACATACATAAAAACTAGGGCCATTAGTGAAATCTCTACGCAAAAATTTCAAATTTTTTCGATTCGTACGAAAACAACTAATAACCAGTGTTGAGGAAGGCATATATCACGACGTTTAATATTATTAAAGATTTTAATAAATGCAGCATTTTCGTTTGCTGAAAATCGTAAAAAATGGCTTTTAAGTTTTTAGTTAGTAATGCTAACAAAAAAAATAAAAATATTGAAATAACTTAAAATATCAAAGACACAATGGTAAATTAACTCCAGAGCATATTCAATACTTTATTTTTGCTCTTAATTGGGTCCAACAGTGATTCGTTTCTTGCAATGTTGCTTAGTAGAGTAAAACAGAAAAAAAATTCAAAGCAACAAATTCGCTTTTTAAGGTTTAATTCACACGAAAAATATAGATTCTGACAGGGATTTTGACACGCATGAATACATTTATTTGTGTTTTTTCTTAATATGACTTTCTTTCAACAATTGAGCGGTATCTTAAAGTATTCAAGAGTGTGCTAGACTAAAGGTTGAGGCAAGAGTGAAATTTGCTCGCAATCCAACTTTTGGCCAGTTGTCGCGGTTTTGTACTTTAAATGCCGGCATATATGTTTGCATTCAGAATTTCGGCGATTTAAATCGCGGCACACACATTCACACTGCGTTTATAATCGTTACTTATTTGTTTGTTTTGTTGCTGCCACAGCTAAGGTAAATATACATACATATTGGTTTCAGATTGTATACCGGAGAGATTAAATGTGATTGCTCTTGACTAAACAGGTACCGGCAATTACTGCTATTTGTTTATAAACATATACCGTTATAAACCCGTAACATACCGTAGTAAACAGTACATATGTATGCTTCTAATTAGTTAAAGCAACTTAAATTAAGATTAGCCAAATTTCACTTACAATAAATATAAGTATGTAAATCAAATAAATATGTATGTAGCTATTTATTTTATGAGCTCCGTAGCTACGAATTGAAAGAAGACTACTAAATACTCATACAATACCAACAAAAGCATGCGACTCTGGTAGTTTGTTCCAAAGTTTACAGTTTACTAACGAAAAATAAAATGGCATAACTAGGTTGGAGAAGCATGTATGTATGTATGTTTGGGTTACACTGGTTGTAAGCGCTTAACCAAAAGTTATTCAGGAAACTTTATAACTCCACAGACATAGCGTGCGGTATTTTTAAAGGCAACTTTTTATGACGATCTTGAGTTAAACTAACTTACTTACGCTTTTCTTATAGCTTTGATGAGCATGAAATGGTATTATAACTTTGGTCCAATATTTGTAAGTACCAGAATAAGAAGCGATAGACGCATTAAAATGTATACTTAAATGATCAGAACGTCGAGCTCAGTCGATTTAGCCATGTCCGTCTCTCCGTCTGTCTGTCTGTCTGTCTGCTGGTCATCTTTCCGAAAGCTACCGCTAAATGGTAAGCCGGGGTGTATCAGTTTTGAGTAAATTAGCGTCTTTAATTTCGAAAAATTTAAGATTCAAGAATTTCTGAAATTTACTGTTATATGAAAAGCGTTCGTTATTTTAGTCCGATTTCAACAATTTTCAACGATTTGCTTTTATGTGGCAAGCACAACAAAAGTACCAAGTTTGGTAGAAATTGGTAGAACAGTTACCAATATACATATATGTGATCATAAGTGGGCGGTGCCACGCCCATTTTCCAAAATTTTACCATAAACTTATTTCTTAGTAAAGAATTGTTTCAAGCATCAATTTTTAATAAAGTGGCTTTAATATTTACTGACTTATCGAAGATTTCGTATTTCTCTAAATTACGGTTATATGGGAGGTAGGCGTGGTTATTGTCCGATTTTAAAAATTTTCAGCCATTTGGTATATTGTACTAATGCCAACAACTGTGCTTGGAAGAAATTGGTGCAGCGGTTACCAAGTTATATACATACATGTAACCATAAGTGGGCGTGGCTAGGCCCATTTTCCAAAAATTTATAGTATTCTTATTTTTCGTCTGATATTTATTGTAAATATCAATTTTGAGTAAATAATCTTCAGTAGTTACTAAAATATCCCAGTTTTCGTATTTCTGAAAATTACCGTTATATGGGAGGTAGGCATGGTTATTGTCCGATTTCGTCCATTTTCAATACCCTCCGTCCTACGCCCGAAAGAAGTGCTCATACCATATTTCGTTAAGATTTCTCGATTTTTACTCGAGTTATCGTGTGCACAGATGGACGTACAGACGGACGTTCAGACGGACGTTCAGACGGACGTTCAGACGGACGTTCAGACGGACGGACAGTCACCGCTTAATCGATTTCTCTTTTCATCCTGATCATTTATGTATACATTTGTCTATATCTATCTCGATTAGTTTTGCCTATTACAAACAACCCTTGTGCACAAGTGCGCTCGGGTATAAAAAATTTGAATTTGATATCCGGAAAAATGCGGAATATTAAGAAGCAGTTCTAAACGTATTTTAATATATATGTAAGTAAATACATTTGTATGTACACAAATGTACTTTTGCGCGAATAATGTACTCAGCTATGAAAAGCCTAAGCAGTCAGTAATCATTCTAGTTAATCAACTTATAGGAACCAATAAGTTCATTAATTCGTACATGGAATGACATTTTGTAGGCCATACATATTTATGTAACCATCTTAAAAATACCAGTTGCTATAATACCAGATAAAAGTCGAAGAAATTGAGCTGAAAGCAAATTGATAGTGTTCTATTTAGTTCACTATTAGTAGCTTCCCTTGCAGGGCAGTTGTATATGTATTAATACATCCAAACAAATATGCATACATACAGTGACTCATACAAGTGTTTCCATGCTGATGTTCACAGGATTTTCCGAGTAAATTTTTTTTTAATTTTTTTTTAAAAATATTGTTAATTTTTTTTTCTTATAAAAAAATGTTCACGCATGAAAAGAGCAAACTTCATACAAAATTTAGAAAATTTCGATGATTTTTCATTAAAATTAAAAAATTTTTAATATGAGTTTAGAAAACTTCTGGGTACGCAGTTTTACAGCTCATAAAATTTTAGTATAAAGAGTGCTTGTTAGAAGCAGCTAAGAATTCGCTTTGATTTGTAATATTTTCTTTTTCCTCCGATTTTTTTATACACCAAGTACAATTCATAAGTCAAGCATTGATTTTTTTAATTTTGGTAACGGTCTTTCGCATTTTATTCCATAGAAAATTCATGTTTTTTTTGGAAAAAAAGTAAAATACCGCCAGCAAAAAAAATATTAAAAATCAACGCGTTTTTTTTTTTTATAAAACAGCATACTCAAAAGTTTTCTAAAATTTCAAATTGAAGAGTTTGATATTTTATAGAAAGTTTGACATAAAAATATAAATGGTTCCGTTTAAAGCAGGAATAATCGATAAATACTTAAAAAAATAACAAAAAAAAGTCACTTGAAAAATATTTATCTATTGTGAATATTAAAAAAAAACCAACATATTCACGCTCGTTTGAGTTACTGTATGAATGTATGGTTAAAAAATTGTTGGTGTCGTGGCAAGCGGCCATGTGGTAGTGGCCGTAAGGAAAAGAAGGGCGCAGACAGCCGCCAGCTATTCCAACTCGCCGCTCATGCATACACAAAGTCACACATATGGTTGTACCCATTCAAACAGACACACCCAAGCATACACTCACACACACAGTACTCTTAGTTAAGTATTTGCACATACCTAGCGCGTCTATGTGGCTCCGCTCAACGGTTGTGGTTAATCCGAACACAAGCAGCATCATTACGTATTCCAGCAACATTTCATCCGAAATTCAGATATTTGTTTTCTTTTTGTTTTTTTTTTGTTTTTGGTGTTTGACTGTTTCTGCTATGCAAACAGCGTAGGGATATCGCAATTACCAAAATGACAAGGCAATAGCGATGACTACGAGGACGACAGCAGCAATGAGTTGGCGCGGCATTGACGTCCAAAGAATATTCACAAAATGAAAATGAACTCACAAAAAGAAAATCAATGCCAATGACTGCTGACTGCTGACTGCTAACTGCTGATGACAATTTTGCGTTTTTACATTGTTATTGTAGTTCAGCTGTTATCGGAAATTGTGTGTGGCTGGCGGCGCGTGATGACGACGCGTGAAGGCCGCGTCCCAACTCACCCGCGGCAGCAATCGGTTGCTGATGTTTGGCGACTGATCTCGAACGGATAGAATGAAGCTATGTTGTTGGTTTTGTTTTCGTTGTCGGTGAGCTCTTCGATTTGTTCCTCATTTATTTGAATGTGATTTTGCTGTTTTCGCAACACAGCCTAACACTCAGTGTGGCACAAATTGTTATTTGCAGCAATATGGCCTTCAGCACACACACACACCAACGAACACACACGGATGGACTTAGTTCTTGTTTACACACTTCGAAATTTTTACGTACAAGTTATAAAAAAGTAGGTGTCGTTATCGTTGTGCGGCTATTTTGTTGGAGGTTTTCTGGCACTTGGTCAAGTGAGCGACTCGTTGGGTGTTTTTCGATGTATCTTCTGGTTTTTTTTATTTTTATTTTATTTTTTTTTTTATTCGAGCAACAATTACTCGCTAGTTGGGGGCACCGCATAAAGCGCACATTCAATTAAGATAATTAAACGCAGAGTAGGCAAGTGCACACTCGACAACACTTGAAGCCACTCTACGGCAAACGCACGCACGTGACTCAATGGGCAAGGACACGTTTTATGGGATTGACGTAAAATGTCTGCGTTTTCATTGCATTGAGTGCCAATTGGGAATGATCTCTTTTAATTATGCACTTCACAGTTTGCTGGCGCTGAGGCGAATTTAGTTACTTGCTTTTTTTTATTAAGTTTTAGCTCCGCCATAACACAATTTTCACAATCAAAAATGACGCCTATTTATGTGCTGCCTTAAGCATTTCTTAGCGCTGACCACATCTCTTTATTATTTTAGATTTCCACGTGGTTCATTTAATTATACTCTCACAAATGCGACGAAGTAAAAATTTGGTGCGTTGCAGATTTAGTACATTTCAGTGGAAATTAAATTATCACACAGTTAAACAGAGAATCCTGATAGGAGTAGGCTGTGAACTTGCCACTTTTGTTTCACCAAATGTTTAAATGCTAGACACTAGTTAATTGCCTCTTCAACATTCTGTCAACATTTCGGTTCAAACTGTCAAGTTAAAAAACGTAACTTTTTTACTAAATACGCCACATATTTTTATTCTTCCTGATTTATTTACCAGGACTTCACCCTTGCCTCACTCACTAACTCCCTTCGTAGGCACATCACTTAAACATCAAAATCTTGATTTCACTTCTTTTTAGTTAACTTTTCCTCTCCTTTGTGTGTACGCAACACGGCCACTCAGCTAACTTTTCCGCGCTCGAAACACTTGAATGTCCTTTTGCAAGCACTTACACCGGACAACTAAATATATTAGAAGTGCACAATAAGGACTTAAGTTCAGCCAAACGAAAGGGCCGAGTGCATCACCTCAGTCTTTCACATGTTACTGAAAAGACTACTTGGTGACTGTAAAATTGTCAAACGAAGAGAGGTTTTCGTTTTCTTTTGGTGGCATACTGCGAGGCGCAGGCGCTTTCTTGCGTGAGTAAAGCTTTTGGAGTCACAAAATCAGTAAATCAGCTCGAAATGTGTGGAGCCAGAGAGTTGCAGCAGAAAATGTTCAGCAACATGTTGCAGCAACATCTTAGTATCAACGACAAGGTGATACTACTTACAAAGGCCTTATATTTCTAAAATAAAGGATGCATAAGTAGTACAACAATTTATTGGAGACGAGCTGGTAGTCTGTATAAATTTTGGTTCCTTTTATGTATATAAATTTCATCAATTACCAACTTTTGCGGTTTGAAAATTCGACTTTCATTGAATAATGTTTTGGCAGGAGGGAAGTATTATACGTGTTTAATTGTTTTAAGAAATATCTTGCCGTTTGGCAACAATTTTTTATTAAACATGCAATATGCTTTCAATACCCTATACTGAAATTCGGCAATCGTTACTCAAAGCATGTTCGCATTATCGTAATTTATATGGCATTCACACTATCTTGATTTCGGGATCACTCTTAAAGACAAATGACAAAAAAAAAAAAAACACCGACACGCGTAAACTTAATTTTAGGTCGTAGATTATAGATCTTTATACCATTTTCGCACACCAGACTATTTTCTTCAATATATTTAAATTTTCTATGAAAAAAATCAATTTTTAACAAGGAAAAGAAAAAACAATAAATTAAAAAATTTTTTTTTAATTGACAGGCTGTTCTTTTGACTAAAAATCATGCTGTTAACGATAAAAATTTATGCATGAATAAACATGTTTTGTATGAAATGGAAGCAGAAAATAATGGTACTCATACGCCATATCGAGCCCTTACCGCCGGAATAACGTAAGCGACATTTTTTTTCAAAATTTTCTTTTGGATGCAGAAATATTCCTAGAGAATCTAGATGCATTTCTGCATCAAAAGGAAAATTTTGAAAATAATGTCGCTTACATTATTTTGGCGGTTGGGGCTCGATATAGTACATGGCCGTACTCGTATATATTCGTACACGGCGTATGAGCAACATTTTCTATGGTAAAGTTTGATTTTTTTTTCCAATTGCAAACATAAAATGAATATATCTTAGTAAAATAACCGGACCTAGAAAAACGGAAAAACGGGAATGAGTTTCGGTTCTCCAAGCCAGGATATTTATAATCCTCAAAGCCATGGACCACAAGTGGAAAAACACGTGCAGAGTTTAGGTGCGTGTATTGACAGCCAAATGACCGCTTACTTCTTCCATATTAGTTTGAGGATACATAATTTGGAAAATTCTAGCTGCTAGGTCATTCGGGGTTACGTGTTAGATGTGAATGGAGTGTTTTTGCGCACAGAAGCTCTATGAGCAAAGGCAGATCGATATAGTTTTAATTGAGTGTGTCTGCAGTCTCTGCGTAGAAAACTATTTCAGGTTCGCCAATTATCCGCATTACTTCACCCCTATTTTGTTCTGAATTTTACTCCTCGCATCTCTAATATAAATATAATACCATTTCGTCCCCTTTTTGATTGGCTTTGCCATTTCTCAGGGTTCCTGACCATCGGTACTGCAAAAATTCTCATTCGTATCTGTGCTCCGGGACAGCATTTTTCTAAACTAATAATTTTACACTATACAAACTCCTGCTGGTGGTCGGCCTACACTTGCATAACCCTTCTGATATAATGAAAGAGAATTTCAATCGCATTAATATGCCAACCATCGAAAAACACAAAAATTCCACAATTATTTATTTTTGCAAATTTCTAAATAAAACCGAATGACAAAAATGCTGAATGAAATACCAACTAAATTGCTTCAATATTTCAATCGGTGTGCAAGCTATGCAAGTTATGTTCTTAAACTACGAGCATAAATGGGTAATTCGTATGCAAATAGTTTAAAGCTTTCAAGTCACTTCAAGTATTTATAAAAGTATGCATACGGCTTATGTGAATGTATGCAAATTTGTTTTTTTAGTTTTATCAAAGAAAATTTCTTAGCTCTTTGTCAATGTTTGTATTGTTTTATACATAAATACAAATACAGATTCGTATCTATGTTTATTTGTGTGTATAACATAACAGCTATGTATACACTTGGCGACGCATAAATTACTTTAACACCTTATTTTATACAAATAGCTTAAGAAAATAGTTATTTTTGTATTAAGAGACTTTCGAAATAAATACAATTTTCATTGGAAATATCAAATAAGTCTCTTTCTTTTTTGAATATCTACCAGCTCAGTCTGAAAGTCACTTATGTATCTATTGGTTTCACGCTAGTGATGAATTTTGTTTTTCCTTTTGTCAATAATTATAATTTTTTAATGTTGTTACGAAAATAGAGCGTCCTTCAGTTTTACAACCACTCCGAACTTTCCTCTTTTGCCAATACTCTCCCTTAAAAATTTGTGTTTCGTTTAGAAAGTAGTAGAATTTATGAGGATGCTGAAAATATTGCTAGAGATATTCATTTGAGAAACATTGCCAAAGAACGGAGAACTACTTAAAAAAAAAACGTCGAGGTAAGCATCACAAACTATAACCACTACAAAATCATTTGAAGAGAGGGCGATAGAGGACCGTGAAGAGGCTGCTGTTGGAAGAGAATGAGTGTTATTGGTAAGGCTGGCTTCAATTTTCTGCCATCCAAACGTAGCAGTAAAGGCATATCCATCTATATTCAACCATCACATTCAACTAATATGGAAATATCACTATTTTTCACATCTATCAATATATCGTGTCGACCGCTGCGGTGGAGTGTTGAGCAGCGAACACTACTTCCACATTGTTGGGTTCGAGCTTCATGTTCCGACAAACATAAACAAATAAAAAATATAAAAGAATTTTCTGCTAGCAGTCGTGCCTTAGCAAGCAATGGAAAATCTCCGAGTGTACTTATGTCATGAAAACCAGCTTCACATGAAATCAAATCGCCGTTCGGAGACGGCGTACACCTCCCCTTTGTGTACGCCATGTACGAGTACGGCCATGTACGATGTGGCGTATGAGTAACATTATTTCATGGCCCTATTTCACAAAAAACGTTAATGTCCATTTTCCTTCACCATTCAAAACTTGCCGATTTTCATCGCTAGTAGCTTTATACTTTGGGAAAAAATCAGGCTTTAAAAAAAAATTGGAAAAAATTACTTATATATATATGCAAATATGTACATTTTTAATTTTTGCCTTAGCTTAACTTGGAAATTTAATTTGGTATTTCGAATTTCGATGTAAAAAAACACCCTAATTTCTATTTTTCCACCATTCTATATTAAAACTCGATACCAGTAAAGCTTTATTGGCTGTTATATTAACATTCAAAATATAGACTGTAGCAAGTATGTTCTATTGTTTTTTAAGTCAACCGCTAGTCCTTTAGACTCTGCCACAACCAACCAAACTTGGAAGTATTCCGCGGCGATGATTCCCACTTGGCTGTCAATGTAAATATGTAAATAAAACGACCGCCCCATAGTTCGAAACACACTCTGAAAACGGGAGCTTAAACTTGGGACTTCTGCCGATATAAATAAATATCCTCAAACTCAAGCGCTAACTGATGATATAGTATATGTAGTTCAGGGCACCTCGTCTATACCAACAAAACCAACCCTCTGCACACGATTTACCTGCATAAGTAATGCATTTTTACAGTTAGTTCGACCAGAGGATTTATTAGGGTTTTATATAACCACTTGATTGCATTTGGAGAGAATACCCTGAGCTTATCAATGGCACTTATACAGCGCTAAAGACAAAGTGTCCATAATCGCGCTCAGGTACTTGACCCAGTCAGAGAACGCAAGTGGACCGCCACCGATTGAGGAAACCTTAACATTTGCGACTATCATAAGATAGACAGTATTGGTTACGGTCTAATCGTAGATTATCCGGGATAAATATGAAACTTAAAAAGTGAATTTAAAACCCAAGCTTGCTCAAGGCTTTTACAGTCGCCTCGGGCAGCAGGTTTTTCAACGCATCCTCCGTATCGAAGAATGCTCCCCAAATTCCCCGGATATTTTCTTCAAGTAGAAATTCTAAGGTATGCTAAGTTGCTATAGTTTTTTTAACGACTTACATAAATTTACTTTCTTTCAACAAATAAGCAATTTGAACTAAAGGGATTACCTTCGTCGTCGTAATAGGCTTGAATTTATTTTTTCTTACTTCACCCATGGCCATTAACGGGCAACGATATGTTCGATATTCGCTAACTTTCATTGTGATGTGGAATTCTTAGAAGGCATAGATACATAAATTGATAAGTATGTACATATTTTAAGCTGAAAATCCAGAGTTCTTCGGAAGTATTTACGCAATAAATTCATGGAATTGGAGTGGCATTGCTATCATAAACCCACTTTAAAATTCAATATAACGCTTACTCCTTGTTATTATGCGAATGTGAAACATTCAGGGCAATAAAACGCAAGTCAAGGTGGAATAGAAGAGGCGAATAAGCAAGCGTAAGTATAACTCCCTGCTGCATGGATATAACTACTTGGCTTGCAGATGTTTGCAGATCAGCAAAAAACGTGAACGACGATGACGGCACATGCAGCCGTAGCAGCAAAATCATACAGCATGGCGCGACCTGCACATATACACAGGCACGCACATATACATAAATACTCGCACCGCACACATACATACATATTTCGAATGCAAATGCTTGAAAATTTCAATTTAATTCAACTACAGTTACGCGTTTGTTATTTTTGTTGCTTTTGTGACATTTTTAGCAAATCCGCTAAGTTCAGCTCTATGCCAGTGCCTATTGATGCGAATACATATTTACACACTCACACGCCCATACAAATGTATGTACAATCCTTGCAGTGAAAAGCCAAACCAGTAAGAAAAAATACTAGCTCATTAACTAGTACATATGTATGTG